AAATAAATAAATAAATTTAAATGAAAATGACAGTCTGGGGCAAGGCTCCTGAGTTGCTGCATCTGCCCAGCTGCAGGTTCAGCTTTGTACCAGGAAGCCCAACGTTAACATAAATTCCCAGAAGTCTTTCCTGCATCAGAATCTGCAGTAACAGGTGTGAGCATTCTAGCAGCAGATTGATGATCATGTATTATACCGTACACAGGACCAAGAAAAATGTAACTGACGTCATGATAACAGGGAAGAAACACATCCTTACTAACAACAGGCCTTCACCATTGTTAGGGTGTGGTCTGAAAACACAGTGAATCCCATTGGCTAATTTCTATCAGAAAGAACAACTATATGCAGGATATAATCCTTTCCCTTGACAGACACTCTTGGTTAAAATAGAACACAAAACAGTCTCATGAGGGATGTCACCCCTGTGGCCAGTCGAGATTTACACTCTGCAGTTACCTTCCCCGGCGGTTCTTGCACCAGACACGGTATGGAAGGGACGCAGGCATTGATAACATGTGCCCTCACCTAACTCCTTAGGCCAAATCAGCCTCCTGCCTTTGGTACAGAGCTCTGGTATGTCAGTGGAATACTTGGTTCCACTGCTTAAGCAGATTCAAAGCTGCTTTTTGAAAAGAGATTTGACTCTTGAGTGCAGGCATCTGTGTGGCCCAGCCTGTGGGAGTGAGCATCCTTGTGTGGGCTGAAACGCATTCATTCCTCCAAAAGCTCCCTTGCTGAGTGTCAGCTGTGAAAACCGCCCAGAATGCATCTCTTTCATTTATAACCCTCAGCATAGGAAGCTAATCTAGTAGGCAGCATGGCATGATACAAAGAATGTAGATTTTAAGGGCAGATTTCTCATTCTGCTATTCTATGTGCCCCCCCCCCCAAATTACATCATCTTTTAAAGCTTCAGATTAGATAGTTACACAAATGTCTTGGCATAGCACAGATTAACAATCCACTCCTTTCATTCATTTTTCCTTTTCTTCTGAGTCACAGAGAACTACCATTTTTCTGAGCACTTACTGAGCCAACCTTTGTAGAAGCCACATGTGACCCTAACTCATGAGATGCTGTTATTATTTGTAGCCCCTGTCCCAGCCTGTTAGGGCTGCCATGACAAAATACCAGACACTAAAACCCTATTGAATTTGAAGCCCAAGCCCTCAAGTCTGTCCTATAGCATGGCTATGGTGAGGCAGAGCCTAACGGGAGAAACTGGAACATCAGAGGGACTAAAAATGATATTCGTTCCTTAGTTTATCACAGAATTCAACCATAAATTATTTCTAACTTACAAGTATTTGCTAAATAGAATAATGCCAGTATTCTATGAATTATTCCTACTTACCAGTGTTTGATGAATTATTCCCAATTTACCAGAATGTCAGTATTGTTGAAATATCTATTTTTCTCAATAAGACAGAAATCATTCCTAACTCTTCTATAACCCTCCAAAACTCGTAATAAAAAATACTTTTAGAAATCACAGGAAAGAACTGAAATTTGATTAGTACATTCTGCTGAGATTTTTTTTTCCTTTAACTTATGACTGTACACATGTGTTTTGTTTAAAATTCAGTATTTACTGTATAGCAGAACTGGGCAGCTCCAGAGAGGACCTCCTACTTTCCTTTTTTAATCTTTGAAAGGGTTAAAAAGACCAGATACAGAAGTTATACCTCCAAGATCATTATCAGCAACTGATCTGGACTCTCGTAGCTAAGAGAAATCCTCCAAGAGCGTATATGTTAAAAAATGTGTTGTCCTAGAATTTCACAAAAGGTGAGATGAAAAATCTAAAGGCCAAAGAAAGAGCAGCCCAGACAAGGTCAAGTCCTGCCTGGTTTGTGACTTACAGTTCCCTATTTCAAGCCAAACTGTAAAATGCTAACTGAGTAAAGATACATTTATTTTCAGCAAGACCCAGATTCCTTTCATTCTCACAACAGACCCTTTTCAGAGTTACTTCTCGTGAGACTTACTGGTATAGAAAATGATCCAAGGCTTGGTGCCCATGCTCAGTGGTTAGGGCGCTGCCACATACACCAGGTCTGGCAGGTTTGAACCCACCCTGGGCCTGCTAAACAACAATGACAACTATAATAACAAAAAATAGCCAGGCGTTGTGGCAGGCGCCTGTAGTCCCAGCTACATGGGAGGCTAAGGCAAGAGAATCGCTTAAGCCCAAGAGCTTGAGGTTGCTGTGAACTGTGATGCCATGGCACTCTACTGAGGGTGATATAATGAGACTCTATCTGAAAAAAAAAAAAAAAAGAAAGAAAAGAAAAAGAAAATGATCCAAATTGTTTGCTGTCTTTGCTTGGGCTGCCCAGTAAAACAGCATGGACCGTATGGCTTACACAATAGAAACTTCTTTTCTTACAGTTCTGGAGGCTGGAAGTCTGTGGTCAGGGTATCACAGGGTTGGGTTCAGATGAGGACTCTCTTCCTGGCTTGTAAATGGCCAGCACCTTTCCGTGTACTCGTGTGGCCTCTCCTGGCTGTGTGTGCACACAGGGAAACAGCAAGCTCTCTTGTATAAAGGCACGAATCCCATCCTGAGGGCCCCACACTCATGATCTCTTCTAAACCTAAGTATTTTCCAAAGGCCCCATCTCTAATAACCATCACATCTGGGATTAGGCTTCAATATATGTATTCTGGGGACATAATTCAGTCCATATCATTTCCAAAAGACGTCTTGGGATAAAATTTTTCAAATATGCTGAAATGTCTTCCTTGTGAAATAAAAACACCATAATGTATATCCATTCATTGAACTCTTAATTTTTCTTGTGGATGTGAGAGTAATTATGTGGTCAGTCAACTAGGAACAAAGGACAAGAGAGAGGATGGTCACTTAGGCCTTCGGTAGATGTTTATGGAGTGTCTACGATGTGCCAGAGACCACAGACAGAAATGAAGCCCTCAGGCTAGTGAGGGAGGCCAGGATTAGAAAATAAATAATTTCAATACAGCACAGAAAGGGCTGCAAATATGAGAAGCTCAGGACTCTGAGGGACTCCAGGGAACCAGAGTGGGGAAGGTGTCCTGGAAAGAGGTGATGCCTGTGCTGTAACGTCCCAGGGTCTGCTGACTCACACTCTCCATTCCTTTCAGCTGAGTTGATGAGTGCTGGCGTGGAAGCCAGGATGGAGCCTGAGAAGCTTGAGGATCAGATATCTCCCCAAGGGCTCTGGAGACTTATGAGACCTGGATGTCCATGACAGAATCCCAGCTGGAGCCTTCTCAGGCTCCACCCTGGCTTCCACACCGGCACTCATCAAGTCAGCATAAAACTTCCATTATGCAGGAGAAACACGTCACCAAGCTGCTCTCTTCAATCTTTCATGTTGTCACTGATCACCCTGCTATATTGGGGAATGGAGCCTTTAAAGCAGCGGTTCTCAAACTGTGGGTCACAACCCACAGGAACTGTATTAAAGGGCCGCAGCATTAGGAAGGTTGAGAATCACTGCTCTAAAGTGTTTCTGGAGGTTCCCTCAGTTGGTTGACATGTCTTGGCCCTCCTGTGGTATTAATACAAACCCCAGGGTGTCTGATTTTGTACTTTATAATCAACTGTAGTCATAGCAATGGTCACTTAGCTACCCTGGGCCTGATACAACAATGAAAACATTCTTCCACACTGTCAGCTTAGGGGGTCTACTAAAAGTTCAGGGATGTGTCCAGGGGACGCCATCTGTTATTCTCTAGTCTCTATAGTATTCAATATTCAAATATTATTTATTTTGTGTGCTATAAAAAAATTTAAGCACCCTTCATATAATAAATTATATTATCTATATACATTATTCTATTAATGTGATTATGAAACAAAACTGAAATATCAAACATAACAGGGAAAGATGAAAAGGTTTGGTTTTATTTATTAATAAAACTTTTTGTTCTCTAAAAATTATTATATACTTAGTGACGACAGTGTAATTATGCTGGGTTTTTTTTTTTTTTAAACCTTGGGACACTTTGTAAAATAGTGATCTGAAGGTCTGCCTCTAAATCTAACCTCCTATTCTATTTTTCCTTCATAGTACTTATCACGATCAGGAAGGATTTTGCTTTGTTCCTGCTCTGGCTCCAGCATACAGAAAGTGTCTGGCACAGAATGTGTTGAAGGGAAGTTTTCTTGTTGAACGTGATACCGTATCAGGGTGTGTTACTTTGCACCCCTTCCCTACTCCACAGTCAACAACCTCATGTTGGTAGTTTGTAACCAGCCACAAAAGGACTGTTTATACCACAAAAACCGGCAAAGATATAAATCAGGGCTTTACTTACTGTTCGCCTTTAAAAATTGTATCTAGATTTAAGAAAGGGATGAGCAAAGTATTAATAATGAAGATTAAACTTAAAGGTGTGTTATGTCTGACAGAGTAAATAGCACAAAAAAAAATTGAGCAAATAACATTCCAGTATTCAAAATTTAATTATCAATTCAGCAAAGAATTCAATCACATTTCCACCACCTAAAGTAATTACCGTATTTGGCATGTACAGTGCACACCCACTTTTTGGGGAAAAAAAAATCCTTTGTTTTAATTTTTTAATTCAAATTTTTTTGTTTACATTTAGATACTTTTTTTTGTATTAGTCATGTGTAAAGGACTTTTAGCTTTTTTTTTTGCAGTTTTTGGTTGGGGCCGGGTTTGAACCTGCCACCTCCGGTATATGGGGCCAGCGCCCTACTCCTTTGAGCCATAGGTGCTGCCCTTAGCATTTATTTTTTAACATGGACTAAGACTTTTAATGCATAGCATTTATAATAGATATGGAATTAGTACCACCCTTGTATAATGTGCATCCTTATTTTCTCTCAAATTATTTGGGCCATAAAATGCACATTATACACAGAAAAATATGGGATTAGTTTTATGTTCATTAACTGCCTCTATCATATAAAGTTCCGATTAGATAAGGTCCACTAGACCAATGAATTGTCTACCTGTTCACCAGTATAGCCTCTGCATTTAGTATAGTAGCAGAGAGCCTGGTACACAGTAGGCACTTGATAAATCATTGATTGAGCAATTATTGATAGATCAGTGTTCTCAAAATAGGTTCTCTGGATTAGCAACATGAGCATCACCTAGGAACTTGTTAGCAATGCGCTCTCAGACTCCACCTCTGACCTATTCAATCAGTGGTTTGAAAATCCTTCCAAGTTATTCCAGTGCAGG